CGCCGCTTGCGATGGGAAACCCTAAAACCCTAAACCCTAAACCCTAAAACCCTAAACCCTAAAACCCTAAAACCCTAAACCCTAAAACCCTAAAACCCTAAACAGTAAGGTTCCCAAACGTGGCAGATCGACTGGAGCCGCCTTCTTCCAAGCCGAACTGCTGGTATGCCGTGCAGAAGGGCATCTTGATGAAAGTACCTGTGGGCTTTAGGTTGGCTCTGGCTTAATAAGGTAAAGGGCTGGAGCATCGCTGAAGTGCAGGCAAAAGATTTTCTTTTGTGCCGGACACGTGACACGTGCACTGCATCAGATCAGGCCATGAGTCATGCTCCCTCTAAGGGGCAGTGTGCGGCACCCTATAGTGTAGTATTCAGGATCCCGGCATCAGGGGTATCACTTAAGCTCACAGCATGTACCACGATTCAAGCTTACACTCGCCCCTGGGAAGCAAACACCCAACATGGCCTCCTAGGTAGCAGCACATACAGGAAGGCTCATAAGTAGCGGCCCAAGTCCCATGCTCGAACTCAGGATCGTCCCGATCAAAAAGCTGGCCATCACATCGCTTCACTTGAACTCACCTCGGATGACAGTCTCGTTGGCGGGAGTTGGATTTGGGCAGTTAGGGTAACTAGGGTCAATTAAAATACTAATATATGCCAAGTCGTTACTTTCGAGACACCCTTGAGAGTGTCCGTCTTCAACCACTTAACAGCATGGTTCTTTGCCGTCGGGTAGAGATTATTGTCATCGTCCACTTCAAGAAGAACGGGCCGGCAATCCTTCCAGAAGGGGTCCTGCGGGCTTAGGAGTTTCAGGGCCTGGGGCTTATAAGGGTTTTAGGCTAGGGGCTTTTCTAATTATGGTCTTGTCATTAGACAAACCATTAATTATTTAGGAGGCAGGGATCTGCTGCTGGTTTCGACGTAGGAACTACAAGCAAGTAAATTCAGGGCTACAGGGTTCAGTTTTAGGGTTTAGGATTCACCTCGGGCTCAAACACAAACTGCTCCTGCCATTTGCTTGGGGTCCGAAGCTTGCTCTTGATGATATCATTGAAGGCATCCCGGATGGCAAGATACATATGGCGGGGGCGAATGCTTTCCTCCGGTGGCTCTCTTCTGCCGGCGAAGGTACCCCTGACTCGATTCTCGTCGTCTTCGGTCTGCGTGTTCTTGCCCTTCTTCTTCGGCGGCGGCTTCTCCTCGTCGTTGTCGTCGTCCTTCTTGCCCTTCTTCTTCGGCGGCGGCTTCTCCTCGTCGTCCGGGTTGTGGTCCTTCTTGCCCTTCTTCGGCGGCGGCTTCTCCCCGTCCTCGTCGTGCTGCTTCTTGCCCTTCTTGGGCGGCGGCTTCTCCTCGTCCTCGTCCTCGTCGTGCTGCTTCTTGCCCTTCTTCGGCGGCGGCTTCTCCTCGTCGTTGTCGTCGTCCTTCTTGCCCTTCTTCTTCGGCGGCAGCGGCTTCTCCCCGCCCTCGTCGTAGTCCTTCTTGCCCTTCTTCTTCGGCGGCAGCGGCTTCTCCTCGTCGTCCTCGTCGTGCTCCTTCTTGCCCTTCTTCTTCGGCGGCGGCGGCTTCTCCTCGTCCTCGTCTAGGTCCTTCTTGCCCTTCTTCTTCGGCGGCGGCTTCTCCTCTTCGTTGTCGTAGTCCTTCTTGCCCTTCTTCGGCGGCGGCGGCTTCTCGTCGTCCTCGTCGTAGTCCTTCTTGCCCTTCTTCGGCGGCGGCGGCTTCTCGTTCTTGGAACCCTTGGGACGGCCTGGCTTAGCCATTGCAGGCTTTCGGTACACCGGTGTGTGCTCGTCGTCTTCGTCGTCACTTTTCTGGGTCGCCTTTGGGTTGTTTTGCTGGTCCTTGAAGTCCATCTGCTCAGCCCGGGTGACAGAGTCCTGCCAAGCAACCCAAGCCGTAGCCCGATGGAGCTTTAAAGCCTATCTCAAACCCTAGCTCCGAAATCCCAAGCAACCTTAAACTACAGCCCCCAGTAGAAATTCTCTAAGATAAATAGGATCCTCCAGACATCTAAAGCCCATGACCTCGCGACCCAAGCACAGCAAATGGATAAAATTCAAGCCCCACACCTAAAGCCCAGGATACCTCCTATCTTGTAAGACTAACCAAGCCGTTTAACCC